CAGCTTCACCTCACTGCCACGCATGGCGCGCTTGCTGGGGAGTGTTCTGCCTCTCCTCGGCAGGCAGGCTAGCAAGAATGGCATCCCCCCTGCACGCCCACCCGGCTCCGCCAGCCGCTTGTGCCCGGCGGCCTGGCCCTCCCTGGGGCCCTTGGCGGCGCGCGGCGTGTGTGCGGCGCGCTTGGCCTCATCCAGCACAGCAGGCAGCAGGAAGTCGTTGAGGGCGCCCAGCTGCACTCGTGGTTGCGTGGGGGGGGGTGGGGCACCAGGCATCAGGCATGGTGGCGGCGTGTGTGCTGGTGTTGTGGTGTGGGTGGGAGGTGGGGAAATAGGGCAGGCAGCACAGGGAGATGGCAGCACAGCGTGCCGCTCGCCGCCACTCCCGCCTTCTCGCCTGGTGCAGCTGCTTGCAGGCTTGCAGCGCGGCGGCGGCGATGGCGGGCCTGCGCCCCGGCTGCGCCACGCCGTCTGCCCAGGGCAGGGGGGAGTTGTTGGGCAGGAAGACGCGCGTCCTGAAGACGCGCTGGTCCAGCTGCTCTGCGGTACGCAAGGCAGGACAGGGCGGTACACCGCGCTTCACAGCGGTACACAATGTGCAGTGTGTACGGCCCCTGGCAACAGCTCACGCTGGCAGTCAGGAGCAGCGACCACACCAGTGTGCCCCACCTGTGCGGAAGAGCGGCCTCAGCACGGTGTACTGGTCTGAGGGCAGCTTGCTGGTGTAAGTGTGCAGCAACGCCTGAAGGGGTGGCAGGCAGAGAGGGGGCGCTCATGCAGTCTGCAAGCAGTCTGCCGGCCAAGGGAGCTCCCACCAGGGGCCCCTCCTGCACCGCAGTGCGGCAGCAGGAGCAGCGGCGCTGCGCCGGGCGGCTGGCGGCCTGGGCACAGGTGTGGGGGCGTGCCTGCGCGTTCTCCAGCGTTGCTCGGGCGCCGGTGGACTCAACCTCGTACACGGGGGCGTGGGCCAGCGCCGCCTGCGGTACGACAGATGCAACCGGCAGTACGACTAGTCAGGTGCCGCGTGGGAGCGAGCCGTGCTGCCGGGCAGGGCCGTGCGGTGTGCGCTTGCTTAAGCGCTTTCCTCCCGTACCTGACCAAGCAAGGCAGCAGGGCACAGCCCAGCAGGCTGGGGCTGGCGACCAGAAGACAGAGCACGCGCACACACGCACACACACGCACACACACACACACGCACACACACACACACACACGCACACGCAGGGGTGTATACCTGAAGCTCGGCCGCCTCGGCCGCCACGTCAGCGTCGTCGTCGATGGCACCCGCCTGCAGGCGCTCGATGTTGAGCAGCACCTCCTGCACACGACGAGGCGGGCCCGTGGCGCGGCATGGGAGGCAGGCGGACTGTGTGCTGCTGCTGCTGTCGAGCCTTTAGGGTTTAGGGCACCACCGAGGAGGCAAGATGTGGCGGGTCTCCTGGCCCCAGCCCATGCCTGGAGGTCTGTGGGGCCCGCCACCCGCACACGCCTCACCTGCCTCAGCTGGTGCTCATACTCCACCATGTGGCGCACCATCTGACCAAAAACAGAAAACGGGAGGAGTGGCAGGCAGGGCAGCACATGGTGTGTGTGTGTGTGTGTGTGAGAGAGAGAGAGAGAGGGAGGGGCTCAGAGGAGTATAGGAGGCTTGCTGCTGGGCGGGTGTACCAGGCATGCAGGCAGGCAGGCAGGCAGGCAGGCAGGCAGGCAGGGGGAGGGGCAGGCAAGCAGGCAGGCAGGCAAGGCACACACCCTGTGCTCCTCCTCCACCCCCTCCTGCACCATCATCAGCAGCTCCGAGTTGATCATGCGCGCCCGCCCGCGCGACTGGATGTAGCTCTGCAGCGGGCGCAAGGCGGCGGGCAGGAGTCACAGGTACATGTCCATGGGAGCGTGGAAGGATGGGCCAATGTTGCTGGTGGCGTAGTGGAGGGTTCTCGAAGCAGAGTGAGACCCCCCCCCCCCACACACACACACCCATCGGCACGGGGCAGAGACGGACAGCAGCATGCTTAGCACGCTGCCGGGCGAGCCTCGAGGGCCAGCCCCCCCCCCACACACATACACCACCACCACCACCACACCCACACACCCACACACCTGCGCGTTGTTGGGCAGGTCGTACCGCACCACCAGCTGGCAGGACTTGACGTCGATCCCCTCCTCAGCCACTGCACGCAGGGGCACAGGCCGGCGGTGGCCGGCAGGAGGAAAGCATGCGGCTCGGCTCCCACCCCAACCCCACCTGAGGTGGAGACGAGCAGGTTGAGCTCCCCCGCCCTGAAGCGCCGCAGGATGCGCGACTGCTCCTGCAGGCGTCAA